TCTAATGTGTTAGAATTTCCAGTGGGTTGTATTTGCAATCTCCTGTCAATGAAAATCGCAGAGCTGTTTCCACATTTTTTCATTAATCTTGAAAATGGAAATTCATACTTTCTGACTGATTTTACTCATCCAAGTTCATAATGAACATGAGTTTATACGTTCGGTCACACATACACGGTCGAATTAGTTTCATATGGAGAACTGTAAGTGTTAAAATGCGTATTTTTCCAAAATTTTTGCCAAGAGTAAAGGAGACAATATGAAAAGAAAGGAAAAATGGGAAGGAATATAAGAATAACAAAACAAAAAAAACAAAAAGAAGAAACAAATGAAACGCGGAAAATAAAAAAAGAAATGGAAAAAAATGAGAAGGAAAGAAGAAAATAGAAAGAAGACAAAAAGAAAAAAAACAAGGAGGAAAAGAGGGGGAAAACCAATAGGAAAAGAATAAAAATGGGGGAAAAGGAAAAATCGAAAAAGAGCAAAAAAGAACAAAAATTAAAAAAAAGAGAAACAGGAAAATGAGAAAATAATAAGCATAAAAAAATAAAATAGAAAGAAGACAAAAAAGAATAGAAATAAGCAGGAAGAAACGGAGAAAGAAGAAAAAAATAAAAGAGGAAGAAAAAAAGAGAGAAAACCCGCCTTACGGCTCAAAGGCTGCCCTGCGTTTTCTGCGATTCGTGGAACCTGGAGATCGGTCATTCTTCCCCCTCTCCACCATTTTTAAAGGCCTAAATCTGGTACACGAATCAAGAAAGAGCACCGACATGGCAATACCCTGCCTGTATAGGCACTCGAGGATCGAACGCGGCGCTCTCCTTGGAGGTTCACGGTGTTCACTGTCCGCCTTTGAAAAGCGCGTCAAGCGAATTTCTCCAAGTGTTGACAAGACGGGAAAGTAAATTTACGGCATTCCTCCGCCTTCCGGTGAGGGCTTGAGAGCTCTCGCACGGTCGCTAGACACAGCGAGAAAACACGCCTACACCTCCAACTCCCGAGCGAAACACGGCCGGTTTTTTGAGAAGTTTCACAGCGGCGGTCGCGAGGTTGTCGCCAATTTTTTATTTATTCAGGACTCGGAAACGAGTGAGGCTATTCTAATTTGAATCCGTCCATGTTGAAACCGAGCGTTTCCATTATTACAAGAGCCTCGGAATGCAAGCATACTCATTGGGCTCAGGGTTCATGATAAAATTGGCTTGTTGGCTTTTTACATAGACCGATTCATTTGAATATGATGAAAAACGGTATTTCCGAATGCGTCTAATGGAATAGGGCGCTTTCAAATGTGGAGAGCCATCGCACTGCTCCGGGCACAGTCTCCTTGTTGTCCGATTTTCATATAAAATGCCCGCGTTTGTCGTTGAAGCTGCGAGAATTCTATAGAAATCAGTAGCGTGGTGCGCTCTGCGATATATCGATTGATCTCCCATTTAAACCTATGGAAAAGGATCGATAAACAGGGTGTTCGCAACGCACACCGTAATAATCTATTCTTTACCGTAGCTCCAAATGGGGAATATCGATGATCGATCATTAACGCCTCGCCACTGACAGAAATGCTGCTGTCATGACGATAGGGACACGTAATGTCTAATCGTTGACTCCGGGAAGGAAAATGTGATGACTGAACCTCCATAGAAAAGCCTCAGGGATGGTTTAGGAGGACCAACCACAAGTGACACAAATTAGGAGGAGCAGAGTTAAAAACTAACGCTCCTCTAGTTTTGACTACCCCTCGGATTAGTGTAGACCCAGGATTACCCTATCATCCCATTACTAATAGTTTTTGGGCTCCAATGTTATTGTTTTTCTCGTAAATCCTAAGGGGCCGTCCAAAAATTACGTGACGCACTTTTCCGGCTTTTTTGACCCCCACCCCTGTAAAGCTTTTGTTACGCAGGCCCCTATCCTTTAACCTGGCAAAACGCTCTTCTTGCCCCTCCCCCCCCCCCCCCCAACATCATCCCTAGAACTACGCGAAAAAAGCATAGAGAAAAAAAAGGTGTTCGCATTTCGGGCATCTTGGATTTTTTTGATGACGTAGGTCGATACGGACTATTTTCATTATCGATTTTCTTGGAAATGGTGTAGTTTATGTAAAAAAACATTCCATATAATGTGTTTGAAATTGTATCATGAGTTAATTTAAGCAAAAAAATCGGACGTTATGGTCCAGTTTTCATGCTTCGAATCCTGGATTTTGCTGGTATAGCGTCGCCATGTTTTACCGACCTACGTCACCAGGTAAACAATCCTCAAGATGCGAGCACCTTCTTTCATTTTTCTATGCGAAAAGCCCCTGACCTCCGGTAAAATGCCCTGACTTTTCAGGGATTTTCCCCCTCCCGACTTTTCCAGTTTCCCCCCGACGGTCGCCATCCTCTCCGATCGGAAAAACCACATTATTCCACGAGCGGCCTCCAGCTGACAACTGCGGGCGTTGTTTGCTTTGCCCCGCACGGAAAACAAGCTTTAAATGGGAATAAATTGAGCTGTGTTTATTTTAAGTTGTGCTCGACGCGGTACCTGCTGCCGGTCCTCCATCCTTCGGATTTTCATACGCCTTCCACCGCCGCCGCCGTAACCCTAGCGCTCTGGAGACTTGCCTCCTACGCCCCAGCAGCGGCATTATTGGCGATATCCCCGATTTTCCGCCTGTATCGAATTGGCTCCTGTAAAAATCTGCACGAAATGGCAACGCGCGACGGACCACTCCAGCACGTGTCTCAATAGCTCTCCGATTTACGGACGAATCGAGGGAGTGAAGGGTCACGGATGACCGATAATAGCACCGTTGGCTAACGAGAGACATTGAAATGGTTTTAATGTTCTCTCGATTTCCTCGTGCTTTGATATCAGTGGCGAAGCGAGAATGATCGATTATCGATTATTGATGTTTCCCCATGTGAGGCTACGGTGAAGAATCGATTATTAAGGTGTCCGTTGCGAACACCCTGTTTATCGATCCTTTTCTATGGGTTTCAATGGCAGATCAATCGATAAATCGAAAATCACGCCACCCCACTGTTTTTCGTGATAAGAAAGTACAATTGAGAGTTCAAAAGCAAAAATAATGTATCTACATTTGGCCTCCTTAAAGAAAGCCTTAATTTGAGAAAATTTGTTTTGAATTTAGCTGTTTTGGGAGTGAGTTTGAAATGATTACACAAGGTCCAATTTTACCCGACAAGCTTGGATACGAGGCAAAATGCGCGTGCACAGTTACAGCCGCAAGAAGAATCAATGCGCCTTCAAATCGTTGTATCTGCAACTAGGACAACCATCGTGAACGAAAAATTGTATCAAGGCGTTGCTGTGAATTTCACACCGTCCCGTAAGCGCGCAGCAATACTGCTGATGAAATGCCTCGTTATACTTGACAACATGCCCTGGTAAAAATTGGCAGTAGAATGTGTGTTCCAAAATACTTTAGACCTAAAGCCGGCTGTACGATTTCCAATCGCTTCTGTAGCCGGCTGTACAATTTCTTATAGCCTTTTATAGCCGATGATGGCGATTAAGCTACAGCCAGACGATAAAGTTTATGCTAAACGTTACTAAATACGGATACTGGGACTTAGTTAATTTTTGGACTACCGCTCTCTTTTTGTGCCGTAGTATCTTGATTTATTTTGCGAGGAAAGCTCCGTACTTTTGAAGGATGCCTGCCATTCTTAATATGTTGGAGCGCCTTCAATTTCGAGTGATACTGTGCAATACTACTAGTGTGAAATAGTTGCTTCAAGCGCCGCGGGCGGGCAGCCAGCGCTGAACGCGAATTGGCGCCTACAAACCTAACTGGGATACTTCACGCATTGCGCAATGCGTGAAGTATCCCTGTTAGGTTTGTAGGCGCTAGTGCGTCGCCACTCCGCTTTGAGTTAGGCTCTAATATTTGATCTCACGGAGTCAGCGTTTTTCAACTCATGATTTTGAAGTGTTTGCACACTCTGTATGGATTATTCTGATTTTAATTGATGAAAAAAAAAAATATGTTTTAAAGGAAAATACAATGTGTGTTTTGTAAATATTAAGGTAGTTCCGTATCAAACTTAATGATTTCCAAAACACACGAATTTCTTTTAGCCTTTTATAGCCAATGGCGATAAAGTGTAAAGCCCGGCGATAGGAACTATAGTCCGACTGTATACTTTTTTATAGCTCCGTATAGCCCGGCTATATGATTTGGTCCGCTTTCTACAACCAGCTATATGATTTTCAATAGCCTTCTTAGTCGGCTATAAGAACTCCTAAGGTATTTTGAAACACAGCTCCTATCGCCAATTTTTACCAGAGTGTATTGATTCTTCCCTCTAACAAGCGAGTACTTATCCGCAGCAAATTCTAAGCTTACCGGGAAATCTAAATTAAAACTAAAGTTTTGGATAAGGAACTACTAAAATTGCAATGTTGCTGATATTGAGTATCGTCTGTCAAAAACCAACTGAACGCAAATTATTAATTACAAATCACAGGGAAATTATCTCATTTTTCTTCTTTACTTCAGTTTTATGACTAGGCACTATTCAAATTTTTACGTGTTCCTTCCAAAGGTATGTAAACGATTGCGCGATCTTAGCAGCAATGCAATGCAACAGTAGTTTCTATTTGGAAATTCTAGTCCACTAGGCTTTGCCATTTTGAAAAAATTATGATTTATCGATCATTGCCAAGGTTCGTACACCATATATTTAAACGATGCTAACCATCGCATGCAGGAGGGCAGGAGAACAGGAGGATACAAAAAAAAAATATATTTTAAACGATAGAAATTACATGTGAAGAATATCAGAGAGATTGCCAAATAGAGACAGGTTTACGATATTGTTGGTTATTTGGGTAAGGTTTTTTTCTTCTTTTTTTTATCACCCTTTACCTATACAAACAGTCTACTCAGTTGATAGTAACTCTATGCGTGCAGTAAATCCATTCCACCTAATTCTAACTGAAGTTTAACAATGCAGAGCTTAGTAGCGGACGGTTTCCGTTGGCAGACTATCGACTTTTGTTAGTTATTGAAACGCATTTGTATTGAGTTACACGGGAATCGAAAACGCTGGCATGACAAATCCATTAAATAATTAAAAGCCCCTCTCAATCAAGTATACATATTCTCTCCGAGAGGTTCGTGATGGCACATTGAATCGTTCCAGAATGTTCTGTATAAAAATTCCATCAACAGCCCCTTCCAAAATACTGCCAAAGGCTCGAAAAAAAAAAATTATAATGGATATCTTTGTCCTTCACAAAGGGAAAATTTAGAGAGTGGGTTTGTATGGAAAAATGTTGTATTAGGTCATGCACCTTCCACGCGTTCATTATGTGGGATGTGAGGTTTAAATAGTTCGCATGCCGAATAAGTTTACGCACCTTAACAATTCGACAGCAGATCAGTTGACTTCAGTTTGGTCCTGAAACTAAATGAAAGAAGTCAGATCCTCCGTCCCGTTCTAAAAGTGCGAAAATCCCAAAGACTTTCTTTAACAAAATAAATCGAGCGACGTATAAATGTTAACTGGAACTATGCAAAAATTAATAAAATAAAAAAGAACTCTTTCGTACGCGAATCTTACGCACATAGTTCATTTTGATTTAATTTATTTTCACAAAGTTCCTCGTAGAGTAAATATGAACATAAATAGGCACGCAATGAGAGTTACACGATTAAGAGCTAACCTTAACTCGGATACCTAGAAACCCATATCAGTTGCGAAAATGGTGTGCGCGGCCTCATTAACTTCGAGTTTATGAGGTGTTACTTTTTGCATTTAAAAGCCCGCACATAAAAACTTCGCTCGTTAGGGCGCAGCAGAAAGGCGTAAAATTTCATTGTTAAAAATACATTTTTAGAGATATTTAAGGCTTTCGTCTACAAATTAACACGATCATTAGAATTGAGATTATAATCCACAATCCGTTTAAAAAGTTGGTGAAGATTTCGTGCTCTTTTACCTTATGCCTGTTGCAGTTAAAATTCTCAGCCTTCAAAAATGTATTCAGATCCATGGGTGATCTTGGAACGCAAACGATTGCTTTCATCAGCCGATTGGAAGGATGAGCAACCTGAAACAGCAAGCAAAAATGTTGTTTTTTAAACAAAAAATTAGCGTCCTATGAGAGGTGAGGGAAAATTTTCCAGACACTACTGAGAGAATTTTTACCGTGAGTTTGATTAGTGAGCGATTGACAGGAATTCAGAAGAAACCAAAAACGAGCAGTTTGGACGTTATAAACACTTGGAACTATCGAATTTTGGGCTCAGAAGTAAACCTCTTATACAATGATGGGGACCTGCTTTAAGGTCAGTTGAAATAAATTAATGAAATTCTGCCGTAGTAACAGTGGCGTGGCGTGCTTTGCGATACATCGATTGTTATACCATTTAAAGCTATGGAAAAGAATCGATAAACAGGGTACGTGTTCGCAGCGAACACCTTAATAATCGATTCTTTACCATAGGTTTAAATGGCAGAACAATCGATACATCGCAAAGCACGCCACGCCACTGCAGTAATTCTTGTGGAACGAATGGATGTGTTTCCTCTGCCCTCCCAAATTCCTCTGCATTCTAACGATCACACAATTTTGAGTTTAGGCAGGCTAACATCATAATTCCAACTCTCCACTTAAAATCCAAACATTCACACGCGACTTGGAGACGTCCGCAAAGGATTCATTTATTAATTAAATGTGGGACTCGGATACCGAATATTTGATTAAGTTTGCCGAGGACGCTTCTATCAGTGTGGCCCTTCTTTTTGACGATGAAACAACAAAAACACTGATCTCAATTGCAGTGTTTTAAAACGGCTCCTCGTATATTTTTTTTAGAGCGCCTCGCTTTATGGAAAATATCCTTAAGAGAGGGGGAAAAATCTAGCAATGACGGACAGTTGGATTGTTTTAACCATATCCACCTGACTGCATTTTACGTTGCTTCTCGCCTCTCGTGTTCCATTTTACTGGCAGAAAACCTGATAACAAGACGCATTTTCGTCGAATATTTCCTCGATTATCAAGAAGTAACTCATAAAATTTTAAGTTAGAGTGTAATTTAGTTTTCTTCGAAAAATAAAGGCGACTAGAAGAAATCAGGCGACGTCTGAAGCAGTTGGGCTGATTCTGCTTAAATCAGGTGCGCTATTCTGCCATGCTGGGGAAGAATGCCGTAGGACAATTTCGAGAGTAACCTTCCACAAGATAAAACACAAATTTTTGAAGGAATTTTGTATATTTTTTCTTGAAATTTTCAGATATTTTAGATTAAATACCGTACAAAATCGTCTGAAAAATTCGAAGAAAAATATGCAAAAATTTTGCAGGAAACTCGATTTTTATTGAGGGAGATATGACAACGTCTAGAGGCTCATACGGCGTTCTTGGTTAGCACGGCAGTATTCTCCAAAAAAATGAATTAAAAAATGAAACTTGCAACATTGTGAAGATGATACGCGGTTTAGCAGTTTCATTATCGTTACGCAAGTGCTTTCGCGATTCGTTTGCGCTCATGAAAGGCCAGAGAGTAAGCTCTTTGGCAAACGTGCGCATAGTTTTGTTAAAAGTCACGACGTCAAAAGAAACGGATAAACAGCGATTGATCACGCGGAATGAGGGATTGATTGATCTGAATAGCTCGCATACGTTGGCCAATGACACTTTTAGAACAGTGGAACAAGGTCATGCGACTCCTGGTCCCTTTCGCACTTGCAGTTAATGAGTCGACAGGCGTCAAACACAGTGCGTAATGCTTACCGTTACGAAATCCGCATCGGATAGGCGCAGGTTCGAGACCCCGTAACCCGGAGAATAGTTCGCGAATTTGAGTGAGAGGTGAAATTTCAGTGATGCCAAGTGTACGATTACGTAAAAACGAAACTACCTTAGTGACTAAGGAATTTTTTCGCCTTGAATCAGTCTAGAACTCCTCTGAAAAATATTTTTTTAGAGTAAGACTAATACATGAACGTCCAGTTTTTGTTTAGCTCTTATGTTCTTCTGATAATATGAACTTTGAAGTACGTTGCAAAAGTGTTTGTGTTCATCCACATCATTCGTGGAACTTTTTTCTGCAAATGTTGTCCGGTAAACCTTAGAAAATTCGGAGAAATACCCGCTTACGAACAGGAATGTGAAACATAGCTCGTGTCGTAACAAATTCAGGGTTTATGTTCTTGCTTTCCCTCTTGCCAGATTCGAGGCCGCAGAATATTTTCTGGGAAAATATCCCCAGTATCCTAGTTTCAGTAATGACATTTTTGGGGGTGATATGTAATTGTTTCACTTTCTGCATATGCATTCATCCGCAGCAACAAATTAAGTTTTGTTGAGAAAATTTGACGCGTAAAAGTATGGGCTGTATCACTGTTCTCAAATCATATACCTGGGAGGATGACCGTACTTAGTAAAATTATGAAAGTTTTAAATTACTTCTCTCTTAATTCAAGCGCTAAAGTAATGCTATCTAATATATGAGTCATGAAGGGTTTTTGTAAAATTTGACTAAAAGACTTCCCCCATCAAGACTGATAAATTCTATCAGCTATTATGTTATAAACAATCTAGTTTTTTTTTTCATGCTAAAATGTAACAAAGTAACTAAAAATAATTGTATCCGTGCGAACAATGACTTTCTAAATCCAATTTCGAAGGTGAAATTTCCCATTAAAAACGAGGAGGATGGCGTCACTCGACGGCGACCAGCAGCCAACTTAGTAGAATCGCCATTGATGGTGGCTAAGATTCCTTTAACCCTGCAGACAGCTCGGGGCGATTTGGATCCGTCAGTTAGAGTGTGGGACACAATAAGGCTTAGTAGATATTGATTGAAGCCTTTGATTTTGAGCTTTGCGTAGGCTGCTTTATTCCATTTCTTAGTATTTCCAGCATCGATGCAATGATCGATCTCTGTACACGGTTAAATGGTTCAATCGAACTTGTTTAAATGGAGGAGTTAGAGGGGCTAAAATGATGTCGCAGCATTAGGTTATTAATTTACTCTTGATAATTTACTTACTAAATTACTCGATAATATATTCATTTACGCAACAACGTTATCAAAGTCTCATTTTTAATTTTCGATGAAAATTTGTGCGATTTGACAAATATTCTCTAACATTTTCAACGAGAAACGTGCATACATTCGAAATTTAAAAAAATAATTTTTCCGGTGAAACTTTACTAAGTTGCGAAGCAATTGGACGCATTTCTATCGAACGGAACTATGTGCATTATGACGTGAGCCCTGTTATGCACATATGCTTATGGGTCTCAGGGCTCATGTCTTAATGCACCTAGTTCTGTTTGGTAGAAATACGTCCAATTCAGCCCCTTTAGCTCGTACCCCTTCAAGCAGCCTCTTCTTTGAATCCGTAAAAATTTCTCGAAATCGTGTGTTTAGGAGTCCCGGAAATTTTGAAAAAAATAAGCGAAGGCAACAAACTCTCAGTGAAATAAACTTTTCGCGGTCCCTGAAAGTCATCAAAAACTTATAATGATGCTCGAACTACTCTCAACATCCATCGTTTCGGTGAAATGAGTGCTCTAGAAAACCCCTGTGCGCGCAAGTAAATCAGAATGAGTGACTCGGAGACGGATACACGGAGTGCGGCCAGTGACGTCCCCGAAACGGCCCCGAAAATGGCGGGCGAGGACACATCCGAGAGCGAGTGCGAAGTGAGCGACTCCGCGGCGACGACGAAAAAGTCGGACGAAGAAGAAGGAGTCTCGAACGGTGAAAGAAGTGAAGACGCCGGGACCGGGGATCAGAAAGGAGGAGAGGAGGGGGAGAGCGGATCAGGAGCCGAGGCGGAAAAGGGGGCTCCGCCCCCGGAACCCTCGGAGCCCCCGCCCCCCGCGCGGATCTCCTACGCGGAGCGCTACATTCCACGGGAAGAGAGGGAGCAGGTCCTGAATGTTGACGAGGTTATTCATCACCTCCTCCAAGCCGGCCAGAAGGAGCATATCAGGGTAAGAGCCGTAATTGTTTTCCAGCTTCATTGAATTGCAAAGTGCGCCCGGATAAAAATGTCGGTCATACGGGCCGGGCTGAGATGCTCCGTATCAGCCGTACTGTTCGGCTCGTGTAACCGAACTTCTCAGTTTAGGTAACTCTGCCGTCCACAGCATAAACGCCGTAACTCCACTCAAAATGGTTCCGTTTTCTTCGGCACGTATTGCTCTCTTTCAAGAAAATGCAATTGTCACAAAGGTTCATTTTTTAAATTTTTAGTTCCTGATGGTGTGACGGAGTTGTATTGAAAAAATGAGGGATGGACATTTGTTAGGTCTTTTGTAAAACAGCACTGAGTCAGGAAGATATTGAAAAAGTGTTTAATGGAGATACGGTGGTACGAATGGTATGGTGTGCCTTTTTACTTTGGACGGCAGAACTGTTCTCCCGTTCATAAAATTTCACCATACCGACCAGGAATAATAAATTGAGAACAAAGTTCGGAATTGCAAAATGCACTGCGGGCTGATTGTTGAATTTGGTAGGCAAGGCCATAGACAAAGAGGACACAAGGAATATTGAGGGATCCTATTGGTGGAAACGAGTGGTTACAATGAACAAAGAAGGTAGGTAATAAACTAACTAACGGCAACCCACGAGAGACCCTGTAGTTAGTCCCTCATTTTCTCCCTCAGTCTATAGGAACTACCCAATTCAACCAACAATATCGCTCCATACTCCTTTTGTCCTCCCTGACTATCGCTTCGTCTATTCCGACACTCAGCCCGCTTCCTACCTAACTTCCAATTTACATGTGTTTAAAATACTTATTAATATCTCGTTCAGCAATTGATTTCAAAACTTCCCGTTGTGTAAATTGTTTGCTATGCAAGATGTTGAGGAGAAAACATGTGGCATTTTCTTCTACGTACTACAACCCTTGTCTCGCGACCCCTTGCACGGAATCCCACAATTTTTTTAGGAAAATCCCCCAACACCCAAGAGTACATTGAAAAGAAACTTCGGCCGTGGCAACCGTATTTACTTGCTGTATAGACATACCATCTGCGTTCGGGGCTCAGAGGCCAGAAGCTCCGGCCGTAGCACCCGGAACAATCGAAGCTCCGGCTTCAGCACCCGGTACTTTCGGCCTCTGAGCCCGGAACGGACTGTATGTCTATAAAGCCCGTTACTTTTTTTTCCGATGTATTTACAAATTTGGGAGACCCCCACTCCACTTTAAAAAACGAAAGTCCTTAAGACCGGTAGGGAACCCTGGAAGCGTAAATCGGGATTCACCGGGCAAGTTGAAAGAAGTTCCGGGCGCAACAACCGGAGAAATCGAAACTCCGGCTTCAGCACCCGGACTTTCGGCCTCTGAGCCCGAAACGAACGGTATGTCTATATAACCCGTTACTGTTTTTTCCAGAATATTTGCAAATTTTAGAGGACTATTCCACTTTAAAAATCGAAAGTCCTGGAGACCGGTCGGGAGCCCCGGAAGCGTAAATCCGGATTTCCCGGGCAAATTGACAGATAGTATCGTCGGGAGTCACTTCAATTTGGAAGGAGCGGTAATCGCGGGCATAACTCAAAGCGAGCGTTAGTCGGGAAAATTGGATGCTTCTGCTAACAGAGTCATCCGATAGACCGGAAGACCTTCACGGCGCGCATTATTGGGTTTTATCGTGAATAATGGTATTATCCCTGGTATTGGATGAGCGGCACGACTCGAATACGGAATAGAGGATGCGCGCCGCGCCGTTGCCGCAAGTCCCGCGCTCACGTCACCGCCGCTACGCATGACCTACAAAGCCTCCTCACCGACAACAATAGATCGTATTCGATACATCAAACAGCGGACCAATTATTGAAATTGATAGACAAAGCTATAGACAAAGAAGGCATAGGAGGTATAAAGCAATCCTATTGGTTGAAATGGGTGGTTCTCATAGACTAAGGGGGAAAATGATAGACTAACTGTCGGGTCTCTCGTGGGTTGCCGTTAGTTAGTCTATTACGTACCTTCTTTGTCCATTGCAAACACCCGCTTCTACCAATAGGATCCCTCCAAATCCTTTTTGTCTTCTTTGTCTATTGCTTTGTCTATCAATTTCAATAATCAGCTCGCAGGTGAGATTGTATCGATATCGATTGGTTCAAAACATAAACATAGCCTCAAACGTCAATTTAGAAATCGGAGGGAACGGGTCTTTTGTAACAGATGTTTTATTTTTTTGAGTGCCAAACGCCAATGCAAAGTGAAATTGTTAGAAATTTTCTCATTTTCAGCTTTTCCAACTTAAATCCTAATAGTTTGGTTTGAGGTTATGTTCTATTGTTTTGAACCAAACGATACATCGAACCATTATCGAATACGGTCTATCCGTCTCCTTTAGGACGAAGAACCTAACTCAATTCCAAACTTGCGAAATGGACCACTGGGCACGGCATGAATTCAAGCATCTTGATTAATGATTTCACTTCAAAATTCCACTTAGAGAATAGTTAGAGCTACGAAAATCGCTGGAATCAACGTTTACCTTCCCTGATGTCCTCCGGGCTGATTGTTGTAATCTGTAGACAAAGCTATAGACAAGACAAAATGGATGTGGAGGGATCCTATTGGTGGAAGCGGATGGATGAAATTAGAGTACCTTTGTAGGGAGAGTATGGACAACTCGAAAATTTGGAGGTTAGGTTTGATCAGGTCATGTAGCCCTTGGGGCCCATAGGGAGAGCCCACCTACGAACTCGAATTATCCAGTGGTACTAATTTTTACATTTCAACTATTTACGCTGATCAAAAATTATAAAAGCACGTACGAAACTTTGATTCCGCTTACATTCTCTCAATTTCAAAGTTTTAATCCTTAAAGATGCTTGTTTGTGATGCGTTGTCGGCCATACTGAATAATCTTCCAAGTGCGTAGATTGGCAGAGGCACCTTTCCGGTGATTTTCGTTTTTCACGTTGTCACCCTTTTGGGCCCAAAGAGCTACAAAAATCGAGTTGTCCATACTCTCCCTATAAAGGTATTCTAGTTGCAATGGATAAAGAAAGGTGGATAATAGACTAACGAACGGCAATCCGCGAGAGACCCTACAGTTAGTCCATCAATTTCTTCCTTAGTCTATAGGAACCAACCGTTTCAACCAATAGGATCGCTCCATACTCCTTATGTCTTCTTTGTCTATTGCTCTATCAATTTCAACAATCAGCCCATTATGCTACTCAAAGTGGATACAACATACAACAGCTTTGCTGAAGTGCCAAGATTTTGGTCGCCATATTTTCATGCCGCAGAGACCGTTGTGGTGAAGTTTATAGTGTGCGGTACAACTCAAGTAGATCATGTTTTTTCCTTAAGCAAAAATTTTGAATTCTTGCATCAAAAAACGCTTTGTCAAATTTAATGTCTTGATTAGGAGTTACTTTCGATAATTTATACACTGCATAAATCGTGTCCTGCAAGAAATGTAGATGAGAAAATATAATAATTTATGCAAGACTTTGTTGGTATCTGAATTTTCAAAGCCTAATGTCACTTTTTTTTCAAATTTTATACTGTCATAGAGGCTCTGACTTCACTGAAAGCATTGGGACATCACTGATTTGTGTGAAAAGTCTAGCATCCATCCTTAAGGTCCAACCAAGGGATGCGAAATCGAATCAAGTTATCTCGAAGTTTTCACGCAGTTACGTGCGACCCAACTTTGCGATACGTCCCACCGATGCGCTATATCCGTAGAGTACATAGAGTCGTAATGTAAGTGGGTGAGCTGGCGCCACTTTTAAGCATTTTTCAGGTCCCGAATTCCGAGACTCCTGTGTGACGCCGGGTCACTTTTTCGATACATAATCGATTGTTTGCGATACATGGGTACCCGGCCATCCAATGTAAACAAAGAAGATAGGAATCACCACGTATTCCACACCGCCATTTTGGATCGAACATGTATCGAAAAAGTGACGCAAACTCGGCGCACACCGGGCTCGGAACTCGTCGAGCAGAACATGGCGCCAGCTCTCCCATTTACATTACGACTCTATGTACTCTATGGCTATATCCATCGATACATCAACTCAGTGATAATCCCCCAAATCGACAGACCATAGGCGCACATCGCCCCGTTTGCGCTTTTGGGCTATCGATTTCGGAGATTTGCGCTTGTGGGCTGCGTCTATAGGTACTCTAGTTAAAGCATTCTCAGAATTCCAAATTTTGACGCTTGAGCGGTCTCCAGAATGCTGACGGCATCCTCTACGATTACGATTGAATCCATCGTAACAAAAAGTCGAATTCTAGAACGAGACAAAGGCTGCGCTTTTCCTAATGCGCTCCGAAACGGCGCTTCTCCCGATGGTGAATATGAGTGCATCCGGGCGGGATGCCCTCTTATGGGTACTCGAATCGCTCGTTATTAAAACCCAACTTGTCCATTATCTCATGAGCCCTCGAATAAAACCATTCTTACGGACCACAGCGCTCATCGATAAACGGTCTCGCCACGATTTAACATCACCCGATTCACTTAGTATACCACGACGTCGCAGGAGATTTGCGGTGGGTCTTGATTTACTCGGCATCTGTTGACAATACTGGCTTGTCGAAGTAAAACGACGCATAAACATTCGATTGTTGCCAAGTATCCTCCTATGAAAAATTCATTTTTTCGGAAAGTTTTGCATATTTTGTCTTGAAACTTTTGGAAAATTTAGCTCAAATTGCGGGTGAAGTTCTGGGGAAAATTGGAAGAGAGTAATCACAAGTTTTTAGGAAAATTGTATGAAAATTCAAAGGACACTTAGCAACGTCAGAGTGTTTATGCGACGTTCTTTTTCGATGCGGAGGTATAAATGCAGGTTATTTGCCCTGACGTCACTGCAAGGATTTTTAGTTTGATCAAATTGGATCCGAGCAATAACAATAACATAACCTTTTCCAACGCTACCAGTAAGAACTCATCGGTGTATATCGGTTCCCTGTCGCGGTTTTCTCGTGCATTACGCACCC